TAATGACAATAAATGAGAAAAAACCTCATTAAACAACTAAAAATATTTATTGATACATATTTCAACAGAAGTTGACTTAACTTTGAAGTTGAAAGATTGCCAGTTCCTGCCGCAGAAAAACAGCCCCACATCATCAATGACCCACCTCCATGCTTAACAGTAGGGATGGTATTCTTCTAGTCATAAGCCTGGCCTTTCGCATGCCAGATATACCGCTGGTCCGTATGTCCAAACAGTTCCAGTTCGGTTTCATCAGTCCATAGAACTGTCTCCCAAAACTCTGTAGCCTTATCCAAATTCCTCCTGGCATATTCTGCTCAACTTTTGATGTTCCTTGTGGTCAAGAGTGGAGTGCGTCTTGGAGTCTGGCCATGAAGTTTATTCAGTGCACTTCTTATAGTTGCCACTGAAGCACTTGTACCAGCCATCATCGGGTCATCCTGTAGGTGTCTTGCAGTCACACAGGGATTTCTCTTAGTTGTTTTGACTAAGTTGCTAAGGGCCCTGGAGGAAATGTTCCATGGCCAGGCAGGTTTGCAGCTGTTCCATAAGTTTTAAACTTCCTTATAATGCTCCCAGTGGTGTCTCTTGGAATATAACATTTTTTGGAACTATTCTTATACCAAAGGCCCATCAGGTGAAATAATCTGCTCTCTCCTTTGTCTTTCCCATGATTGCAACTCATCTTCGATACCTTCATGGGTGGGGTTCATATATGCATCACAGCTGAGCTAGAGTTCCCCAAGTCTTAATTATGTTTCAACTCCACATTAGACCATAAAAACTGTTAGACAGCTTTAAAAACAACAGCAACAACAACAAAATTATATAGGGGTTGAATAATTGTGACATGGCTATTTTAACAAAATATACTCTTACACACAAATAGTACATCATGCATTTTCTGTGTTGATTTTATGTATCACTCAACTCATAAAGAAGTCATGTGAAGCAGAATCTTGCTCTTTAAAAAAACTTTAATTGATAAATCCTTAAAATCTTTGGGGGGTTGAATATTTATGATTGCAACTGTAGTTGTGACGTCACAAAATGTTTTGCATGTACACGCTAAACTAAGATGGTGAACATGGTATATACAGTACAACAGTATATCTGCTAAATAAAGCTGCCCCCTAATAGAATGAAATTCAATCTGGATTTGGGCTGGCAGTCTGAACAGAGCCTCACAGAGCTGCTAGCGTGGCTGCAGACTCTTGTTAATCTTTGCTTGGAGTTCACCTTAAGTCAAGGATCAGCAGCTGGATTCATCCTCTGAGAATGTCTTTTATGGCAATCCATCTAATAGTTGTTGAGCTATTTCAGTCTGAACCAAAGTGGAGCGTGGACAGCAGCAGCAGAGTCTTTATTTTACTTTCAGAGTGTTAATTCTCTGTGAACGGCATCACACACACATACACACACAGTGTTATGGCAGTCTGACTCATTCCCGCCTCTTTAACAAAGTGAGGAAGCTGCGACGTTCGGCTTCGATAAACCTTTAGCTCAGGTCAGGAGAAGGTCCAACCACCCCCACCTCCCTCCCCGGGGGGAAGCGGGTGTGGGTGAGCCGCTCTCGTAGGACCCACTACCAAGGTCAACCCATCACGCCCCCCCACATCCTCGGCCTATAAACACACAGTGACTCACACACTGGAGGAGGGGGAGTACGGCAGAGGTAGACCTGATGAAGCTGAGGAGAGAGTGTGGACGGGAGGTTTGGGTCGGTTGTTGACAACAGGGTTTGTTTGTTTTAAGCTCAGCCCAGCATAGGTGGGTGGGGGTTTTGATGACCTGGTCCTGATCCTGGTGATTGGTGGTTGTTGAGGTGGATGAACAGCGTCGACCCTTCCATCAACTCTTGATGACTGCGCGTGTCGTAGTCCCAGAGCTGTTGAGTCTTCATTCTCATGAAGGCCTGTTCGACACCACACAAAGACAACTGCGTCTTTACAGAACGTTCCCCAAATTATATTCTCAGTTGGCAACTGTTTCTGTGGAGGGTAGTGACAACCACATCAAATGTCCACAGTTTAGTCGTGAGAGATGGGAGACATACCTGGAAATGTTCTGGGCTAAGGTTTGGCCTAGGCCCCCAATGTTTACAACATCTGGCCCTGCCCCTGCTGACAACCTCAACAAACTGTCCTGTTTACCTTCCAGCTCCTGCTGTTTCTGAGGCTTAATATTTCTTTATTCTCTATATTAGACCTGTGACATCAATTCCTGTGTATGTGAAAACAAACATCAGCACTTGTTTGGTAAAAAGGTCTCAATCCGGGATGTTTCAGATTTACTTTGGGTTTTAGTTCTGTTAAAGCAGAGCCAATCACTATAAACAAAGCTATAAAGTGAGGGTCTGATAAGATGCAGGTGAACTACTGGTGTATTACTGCAGGGTACGTGCAGCAGTGTTCATAACATGAAATATTTCTACCATGAGTGGCACTGAGAACTGAGAAGAATGAAAACAGTCAATGTTTTTGGAAAGATTTAAGACTGAAATAGACCTTTGGCCTTTAGAGGCTTGATTTAACAAAGAAAGACAAACAAGAGGCAGTTACACACACACACACACACACACCTCGACATGGTACAGTCCGCTCCCACCACGCCTCCGATTATACCGACTTCCTGTGAGCTTATGTCGATGTAATTAAATCATCAACAGACCTGCAGCCCTGCAGAAACAGACTGGACACAATAACAGGAACACCCTAAAATACGCAAAGGCCTCAGCGAGTGAGTCATCACCTCACTGACACAATGAAACCAGACATTACAACCTGTATACAGATTGTACAAGTGTTTCGATTATTGTGTCCACCTCGTGTACATAGAGACAGGTCATAAACTGACTTTCTGAATAAAATGGAGGTGAAATTTTGCATCAATCTGATCACATGTGGCTCCAGCTCCAAAGCCCCGAAACCCGCCAGACTTCACCTTTCTTAAAGGGGAAGACTCGGCTGGTAACACAGGTGCAGTATCAGATCCTTTACTTATGCAAAAGTATTAATACGTGATTGTTCCGTGATTTTAAAGGATAGATTCCTAATTGTTCAGAGCAATACTCATATGCCCATGTGTACATTGAAAGTGCTATTGATTTCTCTAATCATTCCTCCTGTCCATACAAAGAGATCTCCTCCTAAAGTGACTCCAATAAAGGTCGTGAGTAACCATGTTTCCTTGTTGCATTTAAGTTGATCCACAGAAGTCTGAGTTAGACTAAAGTGTTTCCTGGCTGAGCTGCAGACAGATCAGGAGGTCATCAAAGTAGTATTCATCCTCTGAGGAGCAAGAACATTTGAACCACAACTAAGTACATACTTATTACTGGATCAAAGTTTTGGACCAACTGACTTTTGCGACGGAAAAATCTAAATAGGATAAAAGTCTTTGTTGAAAATGATGACAGAAACAAATTTGATGACGTTGCAGGACTTCCTCCTCTTTTTGTTAAATCTCAAGTGTTGCTGATGCAGCATCGTGTGTTTCTGCCATCTACGCAAACTGCAGGTCACTGATACGGCGCTCCTTGTTCCTGCTGTCATTCTGACTCTTAACAATGAACTCAGAGTGAAACAAAAAACTGAGGAAGCTCAGTTGAGAAATCCCCAAATACATCAGCCTGTTTCCCATCATCTCACTCTCTACATGTCTGCCAGACTTCCTGTTGATCTCTCTCCCACTTCAGTTCAATTTAAGGAAGCTTTATTGGTATCATCAATAACATGTTGACAAAGCATAAACATATTAAAGTGAAGAATAAGTGTCTCCAGAGGGAGCTGTGTAAAATCTGATAAATGTCCTCAAGTGATGTCACTTGAGTCAGTGTCAAATGAAGACTACAAGTTTGAAAATGAAACAGATCTGTTGGTGTGGAGTTAGAAAGAAGACCTTGGAAGCTGCTCCTCATCAGTGCTGCAGGCTAGCGGCTCCACACTGGATTAGCCAGTACTAACATAACACATCCCAATCTTCCACTCAACTTGAGATGCATTGTGGGTAATGCAGGCACCAGGTTTTGACAAGGAAGAAGAATGTGTGCAACAAAAAAAATGATATCTCTGGTTCTGATGCATTGATTTTGTTTAAAACGTTTCAGTCTTTTTTTTTTCTGTTAAAATATTGAGTTACATGAACAGCTTGCAGCATTAAAGCTTATGGAGAGAATCCTTACGAGATAGAACGTTTGCTTTAACCACAAAACAGCCATAATATTGCTCACCACCAGACTCCTTCAACAGAAACAGTAATTTTACCTCACATATCATCCCAATATAATAACTTCATTCAAATTGGACAGAAACTAATTGAAACTCGCCAAAACATTCTTTATTAGTCTTCCCACTGAATCGTTTAAATAAATCCTTAATTCACTGATGTAGCTGATAAAAACAGCAGTTTCAGTCGCTCTACTCAGCTGCACACGGAGCAGATCAACTATGGAAAGAAACCACAGAGAGGCTGTGATAGCAATACAGGCAGAGGGAGTGAGACACCATGAGTCCACTATATCTTTACATAGATTGATAGCTGTTTGCTGCTATATATAAATAATTTCAATTTCATATAACCTTTAAAATACTTTTGACAACAACCAACAAAAACTAAGCTCAGAAACAATAAGAAATTCATAAATCAAAAACAAAGGAACCACAAACAGCCAGAAACCTCGCAGACTGTTAATTTCCAAGCACAAAGAAAGCCAAAACATCAAGTTACCATAAGCATGTTAGTGTAAGCGACAATAAATTACTAATCTTGATAAGCGAAACACTGATCCTTGTATCTATGGTTGAATAAACTTCTAGGGATTATATTACTAGATCCCAAAACTTTCCTCGGCTTGAAGAGTCGTTTAAGGGCAGCTGATATGACCAATGGCTGAGAATGAACACGGTTACAACCACATAAAGTGACATGATGGCTGTTGGCAGATTAACTAGTCTTTAGTTCTATTGTATTAGCATGTTCATAATCTAATGTGAGTCTGACAGTGTTACAGCAGTGTGATGATGAGTCAGTGGTTCTTTTAGGACGTCTGGAAACCAAACCCTGTTCATTCTCAAAAAAGATGTTGAGGAATCAAGACACACCTGGATACTGTTATGGTCCTCTAAACAGGGATATGAAACAGCAGATTTTTCCCACGCTTTATGTAAACTTTATTTCCTGGATTTGATGAAAACCAGGAAAAAACTCAAAACCAGGATACTAATGTGCATGTAAACATTCTTCACGTTTGTACAGACTTTCATGGCAATTTAATAGACGAGATATTTCAGTGTGGACCAGACCAACAGACCATAAAACAAACAGTCAATGATAATAAAGAAAAGGCTGCTGATATTCATTTTTTTTATTGTCAACAAGTCCCATGAGTCCAGTTGGTTTCAGCTCTCTCCTCTATGTGTGTTACAGGTCTCCAGCGACAGCAGCACGTTGACCCAAACCGCGAACAGAACGACTACCAGGAGTCCAACAGCGAGATGTATGATACCGGCTACCGACACAACACCACAAACCCTGCCCTGGACCAAGGCCACCCCCACAACCCTCATCCCACATCACACCACACCACTAACACGTATGACCACCGGCACCATACTCACAACCAACGGAAGAAGGAACGCAACAATTTTGGTGAGTTTTGGTCAGCCATTGTTAATGTTAGTGATTCCATCTGTTCCTGCTTTGACAAGTCAAAATGTCTGCCGATCAACCTGATGTTAGAAGTGAAGTATTGTCTGTTATTTTTGAATATATGAGGGCAGAAGATTGCAGTGGGAACTGCGCTCCCATTGTTTGATTTCCTGTAAGAGAAATATCAAACATCAAAGCACAACAAAGCTAAAGCATTTCAGATAAATCATCTTTTATTACGTAATTCGTTTTGATTTGACAGACAAACATTTAATCATCTTTTAAAGTTATATATAAGAAATTATTTTGACACTAAATGTCGCACCAGAGCTCCAGCATCTCAGATCAAAACAATGGGTGCTAGAGCTGACCAGACTTCATAGACAAAACCAAGTCATTGTACACCACAGATAATGGTAAAACACACTTCCTCAGAGTGGACAGAAACAAAGCAAAACTCACCAAATCGGCCTTTGTTAGTCTTTCCACTGTTCCTACAATCACTGACTCTGGTTTGGTGACAATACATCAATAATTCAGTTGTTGCACACTGAGGGACTCACATATGTTAACAACTGTACTTGTATCGCAGTGTGGTAACAGTAGGCTACATTAACTGATGTAAAAGATCTAATTACGTCCTCCTCCACAGGTAGTGTACTTTAAGTATATTCTTTTACATGTGACTAGTCAGTAAGTAAAGATGGTGTAACGGAGTACGGCTACGTTCAGTGTGAACAAGTCCCGGCCCTGAAGTGACCCGCATGACGAATAATTGAATTCCGATATGATTGTTCACACTGAGGTCACATTGAAAAAATCAGACCTGTATCTGATTTGGACCACATACAGTATGATCTTGGCCCAAATTCGAATTGAAAATATCAGATTCCAGATCAGATGTGTTTTGTGTTGTTCACACTGTCATGAAAAAAACTGATCTGAGTCACATATGAGCAAAAAAAATGCTACACTTCCGATCAGCTGTGTGAGTGCAGGCAGGTGGATGTGATAATAATCCTGATGTCTCATTCACATCCTATAAGGGAACTATAACATTGAACCACACACACACACACACACATACACTGAGCCCCATTCCTCTGTAATGACATCTCCACTAAAAACACACACATACAGACACACACTTCTTCCACAGGAAATCCTCTCTTTCTTGTCTCCCATACATTGTGTGTGTGTTTGTGTGTGTTCGTTTTGGGGGGGATTTGCCCCAAAAAAAAATTCCACAATTCGCCTTTTTCATTTTGGAATGGAAATTGTTCCCCCCAAGGCTTTTTTTGGGGCAAAAAAAAAAAAAAAAGGAAAAAATGTGAAAAAAACAAAAAACCCCGTTTTGGACCTTTGTTAGTCGCGCCGTCTGTGTTGTTTTGTCTCGCTCTTTTTCCATCTAAGTAAGTGTCAGTATCAAAAAATTATTGGGAACAATTCCGAAGATAAGGAATCTCGGACTTTACGCTACCCCAAAATAAAAAAAAGAATAACAATCGTTCGAGTAATAGGCCAAACTACAAATGTCCCTATCAATTCAACCTCACCTGTAGAAAAAAAATCAACAACAAAACAACCGCCCTCACATAGACAAAATAATCACAAATATCTAACAGACTCTTATACTCACTTAATTCCGTTCAATATTGATAGTTGGGGAGCAAATAATATAACCCAAATATAGCAGCCGAAAAAAAGAGTGTTCTTGTGTTTCCCACCAACATAGACTTTTCTCGAAGAGTTAGGCTTTGTGGGGGAAAATCCACAACAAGTGACTAATAAAAGCTCCAAATCACCTCTGATGAACCAATAAAAAAATTTATTCAATCTTTTTCTATCTAATATTCTTTTTTAGCCAATAGGTGTTCACTCTAGGCGGAGCATGATTTGCAGTACAAATACACATCAGTTTATAGATTTGTTATATATAGTTACGAACTTAGTCAAATGCTGTTTCGGAACAAGTTATAATAATACAAATAAATATCTTATCCGACTTATCCGAATGTTTCCAAATGCGTTATTCTGTTGCAAAACCCAAAGACAAGCCTTTACACAAAAAAAACATGAATAATACAACTAACCCTTTCAGCCAATTTTTGGCTTTTCTTTTTGAACACGCGCGTAATATTTATTTTACGATGAGAGCACAATATAACCCAAAGAAAAAAAAAAAATAAAAAAAAACACATTTTTTATTCCCCAAGCAAAAATGGACAAGGACGGTCAAGTCGGAAAGGAAAGAGAAGAACACTAGTAAAAAAACAAAAAAACGCAAAAAAAAAGGGCTGGAAAAAGAAAGAGAAAAAGAAAACGTTTTTTGTTCATATAACAGGAGTGCCAATAATTTTCCATTTTTATGGTCTTTTATTTTATTTTGCTTCTATTTTTGCCCGCCCCAAAAATTGGCGCGCCTCTCTTTTTGGAAATCAAAGAGATCGTTTTATTACTTTGTTTTTTTTTCAAAAATAAAGAGGGGGCAGGAAGCTTTTTCTCGGGCGCTTGTTTGCGTCCTTGGTTTTTTTCCTAAAATTATTTTAAAAGCAAAAGGACCAAAAAAGAAATAAAAATATCCAATGTAAAGCCCTGTCAGTCCAGGCC